GAAATCTCCTGGACATATTACTTGGGTTAGGGCTTCAGGCCATTTCATGTGCAAATAAGACCCTCTCAAGTTGTACAAAATCGAATTTGAATTGGAATTGGTCAAATGGCTTTTCAACGGTAGGCTGGTAAAATTAATGTTTTTTTCCGAAATTTATATACAGAAAAAGCAAATCGCTGGAAAAAATCGAATCCTAACAATTAAGAAATTTTTAGTATGAAGTAAATGCCAGTTTGAAGCTAAGTGAAATGAAATATTAATCTGAAAAAAAATCAAGAATATATTAATAACAGATAGAAAAGGAACTTTTGTCTTCTAATTGTTTGAATAAATGTTCCAGACATAAATCGACCTTAAAATATCTTCGCCCATATATCAACCTTGATTGATCTTCTAATAACCTTGATGTAATTTTTTTTGTAGACAACTTTGAAAAAATTGACAGTAGGTCTTGTATTTTAACATAAAAGTTACAACAGACAGTCGATGACATTTTAAAGGTCGTTGTCTTTTATCCTAACCTCTTTCCATTGCGTAGCTTTAATAATGAGATTTTTTCAAATACTTTTTCGTGCATACTATCAATCCCCCCTCCCCCTCCCAAAAATGTCCACCAATGAAAAAAATATAATATGTGATCAAATGATTCACAGACGGAACATATATGCTATATATTTATGGCAAAGGTGTTCAATGTATCATACAATCTATAATCTATTTCTAACAAAGTGATCTCTCTGGAGCATTAATCACAACAAAATTACATATTAATTATAGACTCGGTTTGATTGAGTATGATTATGAACACTTCGTTCAAAATAATTGATTTCTCCTATATATAAGTATCATGTACACAAACACCTTTCTTGATATATAATGAACTGATTTTTTATATGATTTCGTAATTAATGACAAGGTGGTCAATATTTCACGATGGAAAATTAAAACAAGATTCATTATTACATGTATTTGATTTCCCTAAACACATTGTGAACTAATAATAGTTATATAAATAATATAAAATATAGTAATATAAAATTTCCAAAAACAATGTCTGATATTCCAGTTCAAAATAATTAGTCTTGTTGCAATACGAAATTTAAATAATTGATAAATTAGTTCCCCGGATTGCAGCATTTCATTTCAACTGAATTATGACTCACGTGTTTTTGTTGTTTTTGTTTGATCTTGTTGTACAATGTATATACTATTGTTTGTCCATGACCAAAACCATGAGGAATAATACCAGTTATTGAAATATATTTGTTCACCTGCTGGAGTTCAGAGATGCACAGACTTAAATTATAGGAACCCATTCAATCGCCTCATACGATCACGCTGAGATAAACGATGGCTGCAATTCTGATTCAATCCTCAACATTTTAAGGCAACCCCTCAATCACAATTTGTGTCATTGGAATTAAATGATGTCAGAAGTTGTTTTTGTTTGCTATATATATTTAATAAAATAGCTATACTCGTCACCTACTTAAGTCATCGAAATTTTGACCACTGTCCTTTTCTATCAAACCTAAGATCACTTGATATGTAACCACTTTAACCTATCGTTTGGCAAAATTAGGAATAATATTCAAATTGAAAGTAGGTTGATGTCAAATTGTGAAAATACGGTTAATAGTTGTCATTACCCAGTGTTTTATTGTGACCCACTGTTACTTATGTAACAGTACAACATTCTTAGTCATGTGGTACACTTGCATTAACAGTAAGAATAACTCCCAGAGGCCTATGGGAAATTAACATAACGAATAATAAAGTATCCATATGGAGAATCCACATTTATTTGCATGATTTAGAAATGATAATCAGGACAGAATAATAATGAAGTTGGAAATGTCGTCATTATGGTTATAAAAAATTAATTATATATATGATTTTCCCAATGTTACAGTCAAGCATTTAGGGTACAAGATGAATTATTTTGGATAGAAAAGCTCGACGTCATTTTCATAATAGCATTTGATATCAGAAAATAAATCAACAAAATGAATGTCAATGCATCAGTTAAGTGAAAGGAATTCGCTGCTTACTTATTCATACGAAATTTTGAAGAAAACAATTTTCACACGCTCCTTGATGAGTTAAGAAAATATTATACGATACTGAGGGGTTTGACATTGAAGATAGATACGTATTGAGGGCCTATGCACCGCACCACGAAAGATAGTATATGTATTGTATTAGTATCGCCGTTTAGCGTGTAATTTTCAAACATGCTTTTTATAACAAACATACAGAATGAAGATACAAATCATAAAGCTAATGTTTTCTATCATAAACTAACCATATTAAATGTGATGTTGCATGATCTCGCAAAAAAACCATGGTGTATTGATTAATTTAATTACCATGGTTATCGTGTGGACACTCTTGGTTGCTAACTTTAAAACCGTTTACAGTTCGTGAGGCTTTTTTCTTTCTTTATTTCAGCCAGTGGTAATAAGAGATAAAAGAAAATAATGACAATAAATAAAATAGAGGGAAACAACAAACAAAAATAGAATGGATCTTGGGCTAGAGGCGCACGTGCGGCTAAAATAGTAACAATTATTAACTGTAACCAAAATAATTATGTTATCAACTAAAAATATGATCGGTAAATATCCATATGTGTACGAGCTTATTATGTTTGGAGTTAAAAAGAAAGATAATAACTTGATTTTAGAGGCTTGACTTATTTTACAAATCTGAGCGCATTCATAAGTAACTATATTACCCTTTTAATGATATTTATGACAGCTATATGGCTAATGTTGCCGCAAATTGGCACAATATATATTTTTGTTTTGCCGATTATAAAACCTGTTTTGATCATTATCCAGATAGCTAATGATGCTAGTAAGTCGAGTCTTTGAACCAGATTAACTTTATTATTGACAAGAAAATTAGGATAGTTTGATATGTGAAGACTAGAAAAAAATGATAATAAATAGATAGTATCTGCTTGTATATGTATAAGGACACTTGCATCTTTTTGGCTAATCACGTAATATTTCGAGCCTAGTTTGATGTAATAAGCCAAGCATGTCGGAAGCTGCTCTGCGACGCGAATTCAAGGTAGATGCAACATAATCTGATTAAAATCAGCTCTCAATTAACCCTGCGGGAAACCAATATGAGGTCACCACCTCGTGACCTTTCAAGCAGCTAATAATCGACGAGCTTTCACAATTTATAAAGCGATGCAGTGTCTATTTTGTACTGCTGGAAACCCAATACCGAGTAGGTAATTTTCACGATTTCGATAATAAACCTGGCGTTGTCCACAAAGCCTGCAGGTAAACTGGCAAAATAATCTTGCCCAGTAAAAACGGAGTCTATTATTTCCTGTGTATTTGTTTCAAATAACTTCAAACATGTTTTTTTTCTAACAAATATCAACAATTTGTTTTATTTCCACTGACAGCAATATTTGATACTTAGGTGTAAATGAGGTTTGATTGCATGGCTAAATTAAATTTCTTGGGAAATCCGAATCACAATGAAGGTGAAACAAATACGGTAGCAATCAGATCTACATGCAAGAAATACCTTATTTATTAGAAGATCCGACCTTTAGCCAGACTACGTGTACCAGCTCTTAAGTGAAGAATTTTTGGATCATTTGTTCATGATATTAAATTGTTATTTACCTAAATGATGTTGTTCTAAAATATACAAAAATACAAATTATTTACTTACTTCATGTACTTGTTTAGAAACAGACCTTATGCGCACACTAAATTTTACAAGTGTTTCTGTAGATTTAAGAAGGCTGTAACTCGCCTTATTATATATGCCGTCGTTTCAAATTGCATGGGGCGGAAACAAGAATCAAAATAATTGCACGCAAAAATATATGTTGTTCGATTTGTCATTTAAGCAATTTAGAACAAAAACTTAAAGGATATGTACAATGTTCTCGATTTAGTATTAATATTTTAGGACAATTACATTGTATGCAAGAATATGTGGTTTATACACGGCAGTGTTGGGCCAAAAGGATAGTTTGTCCGATAAATGAGTGATAATATTTTTTATTATTATCATTTTTGTTGTTGTTGATGTTGTTTTATATAACTATCATTATTATTATGATGTTGTTATTATTGATGCTAATGATTGTGATGAAAATGATTACTATGATGGCGATGATGATGAGGAATATGATGTTGTTAATAAAATTGTCAAAATAACGCATGTTGTTCTGTAATGAGCTACTAAAACTTACAGAAAACTAAGTTACATGTAAATGTTTCAAAACGTAGCTATAATTGTCTCTTTACAAACAAATGAAACAGGTGGTTGACGTGTAGATTTCTTTGAAAACAAATAAACTGTTTTAAAAAAAGCCTTTTCTTTATACACTGTTTCAGACGAGGGTAATGCTACTTATCTTCTGCTCCAATCACTCCTTCTATAGAAGCAGGCAAATGTAGCTGCAGTAAGATTTGATTTTCTCTATCGGATTTTACATACTATATAACAGCTTTGTTTTGGTATTCACGGAGTAAAAATATCAACGGTTTCTTAATCGTGTGTTTATTATTTGTGATTGCTTATTTTTGGTTAGCAAAACATTTGACATGATCCTTTTACTTTGCGTGGATTTTTATCAAATTTTGAAAAAAGAACAATACTATTTTAATTTGAAGATGCACCTGTAAGGTTGCGGTACAAAACTATTGTGAGAAACTATGAAACAGGGAAGTTTGAAACTAATAAAAGATAGAACAGCACAATACATGTAAAACAATTACAAATGAATTTATGCCAATGTGAACAATTTATGGCAACAAAAATAATTTTGTGACACACACACACAAAGAAAAAAAAGGATATAAATATTTTACAGACAATGGAAATTTTATAAACTGTTGTATGAAATAACGCTAAGACAAGTTCTTTCTTAAAACTTTTTGTGTTATAATTTTGGATTTTTATAAATTGTTCTATTTTATATTTGTGTAATATGACATTTTTCTGAAAACATCCACACTGCACGACAAATAATAACATGATACATAATATAGAGTGGAAGATAAAAAAAGCAACAACATGAAAATTATTAGAACAATGGAATAATACAAAATATTCAAATGCCTAAACGTGTAAATACTTTTGATGATACAATGCAGTTTAAATGACCTTTCCATCATGAAACGTTTGTTTTTTACATACTAAAAAAATGATATTCATTATCAATACCATAGTGTATCAATTATCACAGTTTCATCCATTATGATCGAAAATTATAGTAAAAATGACATACTTTTTAAATAAGACATCTTAATATGTAAATTATCTACATCAAGGTAATAATCTGGTCACATGCGTGATAAAATGCAAGACGTTTTAGAAAGTGAACAGAATTCAACCCAGGCATCGAATGAGGCATTTCAGATATCCGAATATGTACAGGTCTTAATCATCGTCATGTATTCTATTATAACAATAATAGCTGTCGGTGGAAACGGGATTGTTTGTTATTTAGTGTATGCTTATAAACGAATGCACACGGTGCCGAACTATTTCATTGTAAACCTCGCCGTAAGTGATATAATCATGGCCGTCTTTTGTATTCCATTTACATTTATTGCCAATTTGATTCTTAATTATTGGCCATTTGGCGAGACAATGTGTCCTATTGTGCTATACATACAAGTTGTTGCTGTGTTTCTGAGTTCCTACACCCTTGTTGCCATGAGTATAGATAGATACATTGTGATTGTTCATCCATTCAAACCAAGAATCACACAAAAACAAACTGCGTTAACGATTCTTGGAATATGGGTGATGTCATTTACTATACCGTTACCAACGTTTTTGAAATCACGAGTGATTTACCATTCTAACACAAGCGGACAATGTCTTGAAACCTGGGAAAATAATACTGAACAGTATTCGTATGGATTGTCGTTAATGGTTTTGCATTACTTTGGGCCATTGACCATTTTATTATTCTCATATTCTAAAATTGGATACAATATTTGGATTAAGAACATTCAAGGAACAGATAGAAACAAACGAAAACTTCAGTTGGCAACCGCAAAGAAAAAAGTAAGTATAAAATCTGAAGCGGTGGTTTGTGCTTACAAACGTTAAAACCTTAAGTACTAGTGCGCAATAGATTTGATGCTTACTTCAGACTCTCTAATAAGTTATACATAAGTCATTAATATTAAATGCATTTTTATCACACAATTCTATTTAGGGCGGTTGAATCACGTAGTCAAACCCTCATACAAATGAACTGCTTACAGTTTTCAAACCCCCGTAAAAAACTGCTTACAGTTTTCAAAGCCCCGTAAGAAACTGCTAACAGTTTTCAAACCCCCGTAAAAAGCTGCTTACAGTGAAAGAGAAGGTTCATTTTGTTTTGACGGCGCTTGCAGTATAACACAAATTCTTGTACGACGCATGACGCAAATATCGTCTGCTTGTAGATATACAGTACTGTAGATTAGCATGTACTTTATTCTGTTTTATACATAAAATATATTAACTAGAATATACAAACAATGTATAACTAAATAAATTTACACTTAATTGATAAAGGATTGTTTTGAACATATCCATTGCGTTTCTTATTTATTATCTGTTAACTGATAACATTAAACTAGTTATACAGATAATTATCTGATATTTTTCTTACTAACTAACACCTTATTTATTCTAAAAATCGAAAATAATCTATATATTTGAAAGATTTGAAAGATTTTTTTTCAAGAAATATTTTTAGGTGTTTTTTAAGATGCATAATGTTTTATCAATATTTGAAATATTTATCGAAAATTTGCCCATTTTAAACCAATATACTAAAACTGCAATATAAATATTTTCAGGAGTTTGTGTTTAAAATGAGGTCACGTTGCATTGTTTATACCCTTGTGTAATGCTCAGTTTTTTAATTACATTCCTGCACCTTGGCTTATGTGATAAGTACTTGAAATAAGTTTATCTGAGTTTTTGTGCAACATTGATCGATACCGCTAATAGCAATTTTGAAAATCCTCTGATCTTTCTATTACAGCTTTATTTAAGCCTTAATTAGTGCTAAGTGTTTCCACCCCAACAACTGAAACCACACTTAATATAAGTAGATTAGTGTTTGAAACATATATCAATGTTTCCACATTAATTAATTCCTAATTTAAGGAGATGTTTTTCCAAGATTTCATATGTTAGCCAGCCCAATATTCAATTTAGATGTTATTTATGCACGTAATTAGCCTATCTCTGACTCCGTGTGTCTAATGTCTATGCTAAATTTTGATAAAACATACTTTAATACTGTCGATTTACTTAGATTTGATAAATTGATTAACCGAGAAAAGATAAATTAACAGTTAAATTCTAAATGCATCAACCAAATATTCATATATATTCAACATGATAAATGTTCATTGACGATATTGCCACCACAAATCACGAACGATTAATAAAAGGACTATTTTCATGACTTGTGCTTCTAAAGAACATCGCCCTTAAAAGCAATAACATATCTTATTTATTGCAATCAAGTCATTATTTCTAAGTGGTATATCCGATTTTGTAATATTATCACTGTAAATTAAGTACATAATGTTATTAATGATTGTAATTCCATTTTGAATCAAAATATCTTATTAAAGGTAGTTGAGCGTTTACAGACACTTAAACATAATTGGTTCATGCTAAATTAGAATAATCTTTGCTTTTTCTATTTCGATATACCCAATTATTGTTTGCCAATGGCTTACAATACTTTAAAAAGTTGCGTTTGGTCATTTTAACTGTCTAAACTGTTTATTAAAATTATTTCTATTGACAACTTATGTATATTATTTATTGTTAGCATATGGAATTCGGTTCTTAGATGTACTACATTTGGTAAGAATTTTGTAATTTTCGCATATGTCTTGTACACAGATATATTTGTAGATTAACTAATATTGCATTTTTTGTTTCAGATGATAAAGATGATGGTTACAGTTGTGATATTCTACGCTTTATGTTGGTTACCACTTCATACCATAACCTTAGTTGGTGACCATAACCCAACCATCTACAACAACAAATATATTCCTATACTATGGTTGGGTTTTCATTGGCTTTCAATGAGTAACAGTTGCTACAACCCAATAATTTATCTTTGGATGAGCCCTAAATTTAGAGCTGGCTTACGGATGGCTCTGAACAGCTGTTGCCAAAAGAAGCAGACGAAATTGTCGTCTGACGAGGAAATTTACCAAAAGATACAAATTATCTTCCCGCGCTTACGATATGAATTTCAAATGGAAGGACATGTGAATAATAAGAGAAATATACGACAGAAAATAAAGGATTTGAAGTCAGGGGAATACATTTTTCCGGAAAGCAGCATTCACAGTGACACGTGATCAAATTTTACAATAGAGGTACACCAAAAGGAAGAATATGTTGTTTATTCTTTTATATAAAAAATGCTGAAAAGCCTTATAAAATGAAATTTGAAGTTTTATAGTGCTTGTACATGTGTCTAACAATTCATGACTGGCATTTGAGAAGTAAATGGTTCATTAAAGCAAGTTCAGGCGAATGGTAGATAATTCGAAACAGATGCCGTATATACAAAACATGGCTAAACATACTTCAATTTTGATTGATGAATTATATTGTTTATGCGGTATATATAATAATTTAAAGTTTAATGAAAGTTCTACGGAACAGTTACTAGGTCTCAATTCTTATACGTTTCTTGATATTTACATGATTTATCTTACTAAAATACTGTAAGTTTTGATTTTGTATCGTATTGTGTTCTTGTGAATGTGAGTGAACGCATTATTGGTATTCACATTAAATACATATATAACTGATTTTTATTAACTTTAATGAAAAGAGCAGTTTGTTAACCAGGTTTTCAACAAAAACCGGGTTATTGTAATGCCGAAGTCGGCGGGCGGGCGGGCAGGCGGGCGGGCGGGCGTCAACTTTTGGTTTCCGCTCAATAACTTTAGTTTGCTTTGGCCTATTGACACCAAACTTGGTGTATGGATAGCTTATATCAAGCAGCTTGGGATTGCTACCCAGGTGTCTGTGATTAAGGTCAAGGTCACTGTTACTAAAAATAGAAATTCAGTTTCCGCTCAATAACTTGAGTTTGCTTTGACCTATTGACACTAAACTTGGTGTATGGATAGCTTATATCAAGAGGCAGCTTGGGATTGCTACCCAGGTGTCTATGATCAAGGTCAAGGTCACTGTTACTAAAAATAGAAATTCAGTTTCCGCTCAATAACTTGAGTTTGCTTTGGCCTATTGACACTAAACTTGGTGTATGGATAGCTTATATCAAGAGGCAGCTTGGGATTGCTACCCAGGTGTCTGTGATCAAGGTCAAGGTCACTGTTACTAAAAATAGAAATTCAGTTTCCGCTCAATAACTTGAGTTTGCTTTGGCCTATTGACACCAAACTTGGTGTATGGATAGCTTATATCAAGAGGCAGCATGGGATTGCTACCCAGGTGTCTGTGATCAAGGTCAAGGTCACTGTTACTAAAAAATAGAAATTCAGTTTCCGCTCAATAACTTGAGTTTGCTTTGGCCTATTGACACCAAACTTGGTGTATGGATAGCTTATATCAAGAGGCAGCATGGGATTGCTACCCAGGTGTCTGTGATCAAGGTCAAGGTCACTGTTACTAAAAATAGAAATTCAGTTTCCGCTCTATAACTTGAGTTTGCTTTGGCCTATTGACACCTAACTTGATGTATGGATAGCTTATATCAAGAGGCAGCTTGGGATTGCTACCCAGGTGTCTGTGATCAAGGTCAAGGTCATTGTTACTAAAAATAGAAATTCAGTTTCTGCTCAATAACTTGAGTTTGCTTTGGGCCTATTGACACCTAACTTGGTGTATGGATAGCTTATATCAAGAGGCAGCTTGGGATTGCTACCCAGGTGTCTGTGATCAAGGTCAAGGTCACTGTTACTAAAAATAGAAATTCAGTTTCTGCTCAATAACTGGAGTTTGCTTTGGCCTATTGACACCAAACTTGGTGTATGGATAGCTTATATCAAGAGGCAGCTTGGGAATGCTACCCAGGTGTCTGTGATCAAGGTCAAGGTCACTGTTACTAAAAATAGAAATTCAGTTTCCGCTCAATAACTCGAGTTTGCTTTGGCCTTTTGACACCAAACTTGATGAATGGGTAGCTTATATAAAGAGGCAGCTTGGGATTGCTTCCCAGGTGTCTGTGGTCAAGGTTAATGTATTTAGTTTTCATGTTATAACTTGAGTTTGCTTTGACCTTTTGACAATAAACTTGCTGAGTGGCAGCTTTGGATTGCTACTTTGATATCTGTGAGCAAGTTCAAGGTCATTTGCTTACAATAGAATTTTCAGCTTCTACTCATTAACTTCAGTGTACTTTGACCTATTGATTGCTGTCACATCAAGATTTGGTCGTTGAAAACCTGGTTTTCGTCGCATTGCGGCGCTTCTTGTTTAATAATTTAATGTCTATAAGATTTGAACACATGAGTGCACGTATTATGTTTTGTGAAAAGTATGCTTTATTGGATAAACATTAGGTTAAATCATTTTAAGTCTATAAGATTTTAACACGTGCAGCCTTTGTCAGAGTACAATGTTTTATGTTTTGTAGAAAGTATGCCTTAAACATCTTTGTTAATTGTTTCCACCTTCTGAATATATTGAGCAATTGTTACCAACTATTGCACAAAATTCTCATTACAATGATCATCCTCTAGAAACAAAAAAAAAGTTCTTTCATTCAAATAATTAATCAGAAAAAAATATTACAGGTCTATCAATCAGGTAACTATGGAAATATAATTGTGGATATGAAATATGTACAATAAAATGCATATTAATATCAACCTTCGTAAGTGTTTGCAAGATTCATTGAAAAGATTTTAAAATAAAATTACGTTTATGGATTTGGCAATGGAAATATTTTGCACGTCGTTTATTTCTATTCGTTTTTCCTTTTCCGTAGTAGTTTACATAGACCTAAGTTTCTTTTTAAGAACATTTCTGATGCAAACTTGTTGTTTCTCTTTTACAAACATTTTAAAATAAATGTTATTACGTACTCATTTTACACAGTGACGTCATATGTTCATTTTCCTTGATATATATTGATCAATTTAATAGTCATTAAACCGAAGTTGAAATTAGTTTTCAATAGGTTTGAATAATGAGTACGTGCTTAACACCATGCGTTTTAAACAATTCTGGCATAACATTCTCTTTGATATACCTCAAAAAGTCAGAAGTGTGGTTGCGCAGAGGAAACTTCTATGAGATTTTACAATTTGCACTTATTATTTAGCTAGATAGATTTTTTACTTGACATGTCCCCACTGTGCTACCGTAAATAAGCAAATATTAGCAGGCACAAATGGCATTATTCTGTAGTCAGTTTTTTAACAGCCATACACTGCCTTTGAAGTGTAACACACGTTTCTTCCAATATGTGCAATACATGTCCTGTTTTTAACAGTGCAGTGTCCAATGTATCCTCTATAAGGCAATCGAGTGTGTATTGCCAAATTACAAAATTACAGTCAAATAAACAAGATTTGATCCTAAAAAATATAAATATGAATGTGTTTACGCACGGCAATAGACACTCAAGACTTTTTAATCACGAAAAAGTAGTGGGTACTTTTGGAACGTCCCTATCTGCTTCTAGTGAATATCAAGTGGTACAAATACGCCATCTGATCAATAATGTATGCATATGTAAGCAGAAAGCTCTGAATTGTAACAGTCATTGATATGATTTAGAAATAATCATCAAGACAGAATAATAAAGAAGTTTGTTACTGTCAATCAAGTGTCTGGAATTTTCAACATTAAGGTTACTATAAACAAAGAAATGATATCGCATTTTCTCAATATAACGGCCAGCCAAGTATTTATGGTACAAAAGATGAATTATTCTGGATTGAAGTGCGTAGACGCGTTTTATACCATCATTTAATAAAAGGAAAAAAAATCAACAACTTTTTAAAGAAATCACTGTTTACTAATTCATACGAAATGAATTGAAAAGAAACATTATATCAAACACCAAAACGTCTCAAGACATGACAATTTGTTAACAATAAGAGCTATCAAAAGAAACGGAGAGAAAAAATACTGAATTTGCCTGGTTGCTAAGAAGGTGTAATACAATAAATTATTTGTCCATAAAAAGTCTACCAATCATTGCGTATGACTACGACATCTTAAGAATTTTGTAACGTCTGTAAATTATGATTTCGGTATCTTTTGGAAATTATCGGTAATGCTCATTTTTTTTAGAATTAGTGGGGGCAGCCTTTCATCTATATATCTGATGTAAAAGGTATTATTCTAATTAAAAAAATACTACCAAAATGCAAGTATGAAATAAACATAATAGTTAATTCTCTTATGAGTAAATCACGCATGCACGAACTCATTGTCCCTACTTAAAATAACAGAAGAATATTTGTTCGGAAAATATTATTGCAGTTTCAACGTATAATTAACCAAACGCCCGGCGGTCAATGGGAACCTAAATGTACAATAACCTGAAACAATATTAGGCCAATACAGGGCCACTTCCTTCGGCTTTAAGGGAATTCGGCATCTGGTCCGCTGTAACAAGATCTAGTCTTTATTTATCGCCATTCCAAGTTCCTCTGCCGATACCATAAGCCTTCTCAGCGACATACATGCACCGAGAAGGTGAAGACATTTTAAAAGCTTATTGTTTCAATCAAGAAAAAGAAATCTTTACTGATATATCAGAAGCATTTCATTTATTGTCAGTATAAAATTAAAATTACAGTCTTTAGCAGTGCTGTTATTTTGAAATATATTTAACGATATGAGCAGCGTCTAAAATTAATATTTGTCTAACATATAACGTAATCTAGTCTGTCATGTGACGTCTGATAAAGTTATGACAATGCTCAAATGAAAATGTATAATCACCAATATTACACCTCTGCCACGAAGTCTTATTAATTTTTTTTCGCAGTAATACAATAGAAATACAATATCTGTCGAATGATTATACATTTGTTATACATCAGACTTAGAAAATTTTCACACAAAAAAAATAAAATAAAAAAACAACGCTTATGTTATCCAACATATTGCAGCTCAACAATTTCCTGCTGAAGAGATGTTACATAGCTCATATTACAATTATAAAACAGTGGCATAATCTAGTCTGTGGTTTTCACCAGTTCTCGATTTTCTACTTTTAATATATTTTGCAAGGCTGTTGCATTATTATTAAAATTTAAAACAGTTTCTTTTTCTTTTTTGGCAATCGTTACGAACAGCCTGGCTGGCATTAAAATATAATGCATTATAACAAAAATTATCGATTATATGAAAACAGGTTTTCCAAATCAAATGCCTCATAAATATATTAAAGTTGATTGAATATTTGCATTAAAAACCAATAAATAACGACTATTTTATATATTACCCCTTGAATTTTTTTCTTGAAGCTGTTATCAGGTTATGTACCAAATTTCATAGGCAATTTGGCATTCAAAAGTATATGTGTGTTCTTGTTTTAACTTGTTTCCTTTTCTTTTTAAGTATATTTGATGATGACGTACATTCATTTTGTATAATAATCGCAAAAAAAGGCAGATTGCTAAAATTAAAACCACCCATTCTTAAACAAAATTTTAATGATATAGGGTAAATGCGCCTTTTTGTGAATTTACATTATTCTGCAGAAGCACGACGACATATGTAAATCCTTTTAGCCCCCACCGACTCCCCTGGTCGAGGGATACAATAATTGCGAAGGCTTCTGCAGATTTTATTGCACGAAAAAAAATGCATTGGTGGTATTCCAACGACTAAGTCTATAA